TATGTATAATAGAGAAAAATATTGTTGCAGACATGTGATTGGTCAACTTCAATCGAGCAGTCTTGACGTACTCAGCTTCTAAGGCTACGGATATTCAAAATTTTGGATTTTCCAAAAATTCGCCTAACGGGATTATTTGACATGCAAATTAGTCGTATTCATTCCGCATAATTTGGCCATACCGTGGGCTATAGTAGAAGACGGTAAGGGGTTGGAATCACAAAACTGCCTGGAAACTAATCTCATGATTAATCGACATGCTATACGAACAAAAGCACCCCATGTTAGATTTCTAACTGACAATCTGCAATAGATTAAGTGCAAAACGAGATGATATGTGTTTAGCATAGCGATAACTCCCCTCCCCCCAATTGACCCACCTCTGTCTCCGTGAAGTGGATTCAGTTTTTGCAACTAACATGTCATTAACCCTGCTTAATCACTTTTCCGGCAAATGCGTGATTTTGTCTTCTTACCATACATATGTAAGTGTTTAACGTGATCAGAATGCCAAGTAACTCTCTTGAATAGTTTGAGTAAAAGACTGAAGTTATGGGGCACCAATAAGGAACATACGTCTTCTGAGTAAGGAGAAAAATATAAAGCAATTTTGCTAACAGTATCAAAAATGCTGATTTCAGAGAATTAGCCAAGAAAAATTCCACACAGAACGATTCTCGCACAAATATTCGTACCCATACAAATCTTATTTTGTCTGCCATACAGGTCCCAAACATCTAAGATGACCATCACCTTTATTTGCTCATAGAAAAGTACCAAATCCTATCACTTATACAACTCCGCAATACTGACCCTTTGATATAAAAACAATAGAAACGTACACATGATTCAACAAGTCATCAAAGTAACAAATTTTTTAAAAAAAGTTAGTTGTAAATGTATTAGCCAGAGGAGAAAGGAATCTCTGGAAGTAAGAAAATACTTATTACATAATCATGCATTATTCATAGATAGATATGAGATACATCATAAATATTCCAAACAAAAGAGCTAAAATCTCGCCTAAGGATTGCGCTGTTGATGAATTTTCAAGAAGCTCTGGAATAACAGATACTGTGGCTATGTAGATGAAGCCTCCAGCTGAAAGAATTGAGTGTAGGTGAGTAACCAATACCATCATTCTTCATAACTTACCAGTGAATGGAAGGATCCAACTGCTTGCAGCAGCGTCTGCCAAAGCAGATGGATCTGCTACCCAAAGAGAAAGAACGCATCCAGAAAGAGCGCCAAGCGCAGTTACCAGTTGTATAAGCATGGCCTGAGACGCACGCCTTCACTTTCAAACAGTAATTGCAAAGATCTTACATACCTTCCGTTTGGAGTAACCCGATTGGATCAAAATGGCAAAATCTCCAATTTCATGAGGTACTTCGTGAACAAGGACAGTTATCATAGTTACTAGAAATTAAGGGATTGAGATATGCTGAGTGG